CCTCTGGGTAACACTAAGATCCTGACAAGGCTTATCTGCTCTCCTCCCCCTCAACTCCCTTTTCTCCCAATGGAATCTTCAGCTCTGTTTCCTTTAGCAATGCTTTATTCTCTTCAGCAATCTGGAGTTAGTATTTTTTCCTATAGGCAATAGGGAATCACTGGAGTTTATTCAGTGTGGGAGGGATATGGCCAGACCTGGGCTTAAGGAAAATTACTTTGGCAACCTTGTAGAGGATGTATTGGAATGGGGAGAAACTTGAAGCAGGAAATCAATTAGGAGATCATGGCAATAGTTAGTAGGCAAGGTGATGATGGGCTGAGCTAAGGTGGTGACTGTGTGAGGAGTGATAAGAGCTTGCACAGGAGAGATGCCGTGGAGGTAGAAATACCAACATTTGGCATGAGTGAGGAGCTGAGGATAACACTATATTTGCGGACCTGGGAGACTGGAAAGATGGTGTTGTTCTATCTGACTGAAATAGAGATGTTTAGACAAGGAGTGATTTTGGAGGAGAGGAAAGATGATGAGTTTTGTTTTGGGCATGTTGAGTCTGAGAAATTTAAACATTCAGTTTAAAATGTTCAAAAGTCATAATAGATTTGAGAATAGAGCTCAGAAGAGACACTAGGGTTGGCTCTGTGTGGCTGTGAGTCATCTGCATAGAGATTATAATTAAATCCATTGAACTCCAAAGAGCACCAAGTGAGAGAGTGTGGAGGGAGAAGAGAAGAGATGATGGGACAGAATCTTGGAGTACAGGAAGATTTAGGGGTTATGTCTGAGGAGCCCACCAAAGAGGCTGAGGAAAAGTGTTCAGATAGGAAGAAAAAGAGACACAACATCTAGGAGGAGAGGATGGTCAACAGTTTCAAATGCTGCAGAGGTATTGAGAAAGAGGATGGTGAAAATACCATTTGATCTGACAATTAAGAGATCATTGATAACTTTAAGGTGCACACTTTCAATCAAGTGATGAAGTCAGCTTTCAAATTGTAAAGATTTGAGACATGAATGAGAGGAAAGAAGATGGAAGCAATAAAAATAGGCAGCTTTTTTTAGAAGTTTGGTGGAGGATGGGAAGAGAAATATAGGATGTTAGTTTAATGGGCTAGTTGTATCTAGTGAAAGTTTTTTTAAGATGTTCTTAAACTTTGTCATCTTTGTAGGTTACAGGCAAATAAACCAGCAACTAGTTAGAAATTGATGATTAGAAGAAAACAATTGTGGCAATCTGCTAGGAAAGAAAAGATGGGATGGAATCAAGGGCCAACGGAGATAGTTTGGCCATACCCAGAAGAGCCACACCATTGTCAGAGACTGGAGAAAAGGAGGTGAATGTCAGGAATAACAAGGGGTTTGGAGATGATATGATTGGAAGAAGAGGCAACTTCTGGGGAATGTCCTTTATTTTTCAGGTGAGGTCCTCAGCTGAGAAAATGGGGGAAGCAGGAGGTGTAGGAGGCTTGTGGAGAGATTTGGAATAGCCAGCTCCTGTGACACCTCCCATGGGAAGGCTTACTCCTTCTCTTTTTCAAGTTCTCATTGATTCTGACATGAAGTGTCTCCAGGTTCCATGTAAGTAAGGCCCTAGAGAACAGGAACCATTTCTCTTCTGTTATATGTACGTCCCCAGTACCTAGTGCTAGGCTTGGGCAATGATAAGTGATGCTTTTTGAAGGCTTGATCAACTAGGTATTACTATTTAAAGTGCTCTGTAAATATTAAAGGTAATAAAATGGGAATTACTCCCCCACCTGAGCTCCCTGACTTAGCCAAACTGACCTTTTCTCTGCCCCTCACGGTCAGTCAATAAACATTAAATGCCTGTGCACTGTGCTAAGATTTGAGGATACAAACATGAAAAAGACAAATGGTCTCTGCCCTCAGGGAGCTTTCAGTCCAATGAGGGGAAGGCAGCACACAAAACAAAGCTGAAAACTAAGCAAGAAAAAAAGTGAAGACAAGGGGACCCAGCATGGGGACGTGGTGGAAAAATTCCAAGAAATCCAAAAGAGTTCAGAATCCAGTGGGAAATTTGGAGATAATTGGCCTACTTTTGGAGTTCATGACTCTGTCCTCCAGTCAGAAGGGTCATATCACATCACACATGACACTCCATCTCCTGCCTCTGTCCTTTTCATTGGCTGGCCCCCATGCCTGCAATGCCCCCCACCTCTGCCTCATAGAATCCTTCTCCGCTTTGAAGACAAAACTTAGACACCCTCTTCTCCATAAAGTCTTTCCTGATCTCCTTCCCTGATAGCGCCCTCCCTTATGAACCATCTTGTGCTAACTCCTTTGCATTTACTCTCTATATTTATTCTGTACATAGGTATATGTGTGTATATATGCATAGATATCTCTATATTCACATATATGTCTCCTCCAGTAGAATGTAGGCTTCATTTGAATAAAGATTGCTTCATTCATTGCATTTGTATCCCCTGGTGGACCACAGTGCCTGACACATAGTTATTGTTCAGTCATTTTCAGTTGTGTTAACTCTTTGTGACCCCACTTGGGGTTTTCTTGGCAAAGATGCTGGAGTGGTTTGCCATTTCCATCTCTAGCTCATCCTACAGATGAAGAAACAGATGAGGCATATAGGATTAAGTGATTTGCCCAGGATGACATAGCTAGTAAGTATCTGAGGCCAGATTTGAACTCAAGAAGATGAGTCTTCCTGACTCCAGGCCCTGCACTCTATCCATTGTATCACCTAGCTACCTCTTGATACATGTTAGGCGTTTAAAAAGTACTGGTTGAGGTAGAACTCTTAGAGGTAGGGGGTGGAAAGTGGAATGGGTAGAGTTGGAGGCCCATTCTCAGTCCCAGTCCCAGTATCAACCAAGAAACATGACCTGTTCAGTTGATATCAAGCTCTTGGTTCCAACCCATTCCCCAGCTCCCCTACATGCCTTTCCAAACTCAGTCATGAATGCGTGCAGTTCCAAAGCACCAGCAAACTGATTGAATGATTGACTGATACAATACTCATTGTGAGGCTGGATACTTGTGCCACCCACTTGTGTAAGGAAGGATATTACCAACATCCAGAAGCTCTGATCAGCTGTATCCTCCATAAAAAGTCTTTCTCTTTTCTGAATATCTTTCCCCTTTGCTGGCTTTCAATCTTCTTTAGTTGCATGTTTTATGAACAAGAATTGTCTACTTTCATGCCATCCTTGAACTCAAGGTTTCAGCTCATTTGTCCAATCATTCTACTTCACAGGATTGTCCTGAGGAAAAGGACATTGTAAACATTAAGACAGCATATTTAAATCACGTAACCCAGTTAGCCTCAGTTTCCTCATCTTTTAAATAAACTGGAGAAGAAAATGGTGAACCACTCCAGTATCTAAGCATACAGTTTCTAAGGGAACCTCAGATAAGGTCACAAAGAGTCAGACATATCTGAAACAACTAAAGGACAACAAAAATGAAGTTGACAAATGAATATGAGCTCAAAGCTTCCAATAGACTCATTTGAAAGGATCCCATACTTTGTGAAGGGATTAGGGCAGAGATCATTATTCCCATTTTCAGGATGAGGGATCTGGAGCTCAAAGAGGCCAGTTATTAAGGTTAAGTGGAGGAGCTGAATCTGGTAAGCTGATCTTTTGATTCCACATCCATGTGGTTTTCTTGCACTGCCATTATTATACAAGTAAGGGATAGTCACATAGATATGATGTTATTCTAGACTCAATTGTTATTCTAGATCCTACATGGTTAGCTGAAAGAATCCTCAGAATTTAGAACCCTAACTATTAGAGTTGGCGGGGATGTCTGAATATAGAATATGGGAAATCTAGTCAATAGAATGTTAAAGGTGACAAGGGTCTGGAGAGCACAGCCTACCAATGCCGGGGAGGACTTAGAGATCACTCAGTCTAAGTCACTCATGACAGAGAAGGCAAATGAGACCTAGAACAGGGAAGTGATAGAGCATGTAAATGACAGAGCCCAAGCTAGAACTCTTGGAGGTAGGGCATAGAAAGTGGAATGGGTAGAATTGGAGGCCCATTCTCTGTCACAGTTTCAGTATCAACATAGAAATGTGACTTATTCAGTTCATATCAAACTCTTGGCTCTAATCCATTCTCCAGCTCCCTACATGCCCTTCCAAACTCAGTCATGAATGTATGCAATCCCAGAGCACCAGCAAACTTAAACACAAGAAACAAAAGAGGAGGAGGAAAGAGGGGCAGTCGTAATTCCTCTTTTTTTCAGGGAGGGGGGCAAGCAGGGATCTAGGCAAGAGGCTGTCTCTAGGCCCAAGACATCTGAGCCTCCCTTGAAACATCCCTCCCTAAAAATGTCCTGTCTCAGGTTTCCCTATAGAATATCTCAGGGTTGCCAAGGAGAGTCCAGGGTGTACCAAGGCTAGTATCCCCCTCCACCTCCACAACTCCCAGAATGAGCTGAAACTAGGGTTGTGGTAGGCTGGCCTCTCTCACTCCCTGTCTCAAAGAGTAGTTGAAGGAAAACGCCACCTTTCAGTTTATCATCCCCCTTCCAACCTCATCCGATAACACATTCAGGCAACAAGGCCTCCTTGCCAGCATATGTAAATTAAAATATCAGCTAGGCTAAGGTGGAAATACTGCACTTTCTCAGTTCTAGAGAGAGAGCTCCTCCCAAGCCCAGACCGAGTTTTTATTATACTTTGTTTCCCACTTAGAGAGCCCAGCCTTGTCACCCAGAGATTACAGTCAATGTTTGTAACCCAACTGAAAAAACAAAATGGGGCTAGAGTTCGGGTGAGGTTGCTTGTGGGGCTCCAAGAGTACTGGGGGATAGGAGGAGGCTGATCTGAGTCAATCTTCTTTGCCATTTCTACTGCAAGGCTTTCCCTCCCCACCTCCATCCCTTCAGGGTTGTGGAAGAAGCAGTGACTCCCGATGGGGTTTCATGTTCCTCTTAACATCCTCCCCAACCCCCACCTCCACACACACACTGTTGCCGCAGACTCAAAAGACAAAGACACAGTCAAATTGTGGCAGATTCAGACTTTATTCGAAGACTTCCACCTGCTCATGCGGTGTGGGAGGGGTTGGGGACCTGAGGGACCCGCAGCCTGGATGGTGGTGGCAGCAGGGAGGTTGGGGAAGGAGAGTATCCCTGTCCTCCGACATAGACTTAACGGTACTTCGAGGTCAGCACGGTAGACACAGAGGCCAGGAACTTATCCAAGGAGGCATGCACCTCGGGAGTGAATTCCTTGCCGAGGTGAGCGGCCAAAGTCACGAGCACGCAGTGACTCAGGAACTGAGAGAGAAGGGACAGCTCCTGAGACAAACTCCTCCAGCTTTGTGTGTGCACACACTTCTCTCTCCCCACTGCCTCTCCTGCTTCGTTCTCTTACCTGTCCTCTACTCCACCCGCCCACTGCGCCCGCCCTGATCATGCTCAAACCCTACTCTCCTCCGGAGGCCAGTAATCCGCTCCACACGCTAAGTCTTCATTGGAAGAACCATTGCACTCAATGGAGCTGCATTACTGGCTGCAGCGGGTATCCCCAATCGCCAGCCCTGGATCCCTTCGCTTCCCCGGAGCGGGTCCCTGGAGGTCGGGCTCACCTTGAAGTTGACAGGATCCACCCTCAGCTTGTGGGCGTGCAGGTCACTCAGTTTGGACAGGGTCCCGGGCAGATCATCCAGGTGGTCCACAGCCTGGGTCAGGGCATCGCCTATTTTCTGGCCATGAGCCTTGATTTGGGCGGAGTCGTGGGACATGTCGAAGTGGGGGAAGTAGGTCTTGGTGGTGGGGAAAGAGGAGAAGGTCCTGTGGGAAGGAAAGAGGGCTCGTTTGGGACATCGTCCCGAGCACTGTCCACTGGACACTGTGGAGCCAGACCCAGGGCTGAGGACGGAGTGGGATGGGGAAGAGCCAGTACGTGCTAAGGGGAAGGGGAGAGATTGTGCGCTCAGAAGATCCCAGGGGACCCCATGGGCTCAGATCAGGGAAGGGACGTGTTTGGGATTCTGCACCTGGACTGAGATTCTGAATTCTGAAGGGGCATCCCTGGGTCTACGGGACTGGGAATCGGTTAGAGGGAGTGTGGGCGGTGAGGAGGCCGAAAAAGGAAGGGGAACCCTTACCTGTGCAGGGCCTCGGCGGCGTATTCACCGACGTGGCCTCCTATCTTACCCCAGGTAGCCTTCACGTGAGACTTATCAGCCCCAGAGAGCACCATGTTGACTTCTTTCTCGGTTCTGTGCAGGACCAGAAATATGCGGCCCCGAGCCCCACAGTCCTTTTATGGGGTTCCCTGAAAGGGCACGCCCTAGGTAAATCTCCCAGCGGGCGTCGCTCATTGGTTGGCACAGTGCCCGGTTTAGGGTGCCACGGGCCCTGCTGAATTACTGATCCGGGAGGTGGTGAGGCTGTGCACCTCCTGCAGGGGTAGCTGTGCTCTCTCTCAGGATCCCCAACTTTAATAGGGCTCTGGCAGCCTCTGGGGCTGGGCCCTTTCTCCTCCTCAGTCAGGCTGGGCGCATCCCATTTACCAGCAGCCTTCTGTGTCACTCCTTCCCCAACTTTTGGAAAGCAGAGAGGTGCTGTGGAATGACACTGATTAAAATAAAGAGACCTGGGGCCAAATCACCTGGCTCTCTCAATAACTGCTTGTATGACTTAACCACCCTGGATCTCAGTTTCCCCATCTGTAAAATGAGGAGAAGCAGTTGGTGTAGATGACATCCAAGGCCCCTTCTAGCTTTCACTCAGGCTCTCATCCCCCCATCCTATCATGTGCACCCTCCCCCCATTAGAAGTTGTATACCCAGAATCTACAGATTGAAATACTGAGGTGAGAAAGATGGGACCCAGACCACAGCTGCATTTGGATAGGAGAGTCTGTTCTCTGGCCCACATTCACACTTGGGTGTCTGTCTATCTGCACACACCAGCAGCCTGGGAGCCAAATGAAGACAAGTTATGGGCAGCACCTCTGTCCTGAGGTTCAGGAGACTTGGGTCAGTCCCTTTTCTGCCACTGAGTCACTTTGTCACCTGAATAAGATGCCCCTTAGGAATGTGACATTGCTCAAACAGAGTACAGAAGGGAACCATGGACAGGCCAGTCACACACTCTGGCTCACTGACTAGTCTGAATCATCACAGCAGTGGCCCAGGAGGATCCCATTCTCTGGAGCATCTTTAGGAAGCATCCTGGCCAGATTGGTCCTACCTGTGTACCACAGGCTACTGAAAAGGGAACCACCCCTTCTTATGAATGTCATGGTCCAGGGAGCTGTCCTAAGGTCCATAGGGTCATAGATTTGGAGCTGGAAGGGACCTCAGAGGTCATGAGTCCAACCCCTCCCTAGCTTCTCCTCTAACTTTGTGCTTCCAGAAAGAGGGCTACGTCTGAAGGCCTGGCCAGGTACCAGCTGGGAGAGTCCTGTTGGGAACCAGGGGGGAAGTTGCTGTGCTATCAGAACACACTCAGGGCCAGGTGGTATGTAACGCACAGGCAGGCAGTTTGTGTCTCATAACTGGAATCTTTTTCCCTGCCCTGGGCTTTCCATAAATCCCAGCCTGCTTGCCATTTCTTTTCCTATGACCAGGAGTTTCCTTTCCACCCCTTTTCTTCCATTTTCTTTTTTTTGTCATGCAACAAACTAAAAGATTTCAATAACACAAATGACCAAATAGAGATTTGCATATGATATTGTGAACTTCTCTTATCACAGTCTTTTAGAAGACTGTATGCATGCATGTATTATATGTATCAATGTCAAGTGAGCCTGGCTTAGTGAATAGAGCATGAGGCCTCATTATCCAGAGTCCCTGGGTTCATAGCCCCAATTTGATTCCTACTGGTTGTGTGATCTTGGCCTTCATGCCCTAGGCAATCTATAAACTGCAAGGACTATTGAAAGAGGGAATCCTTCATTTAGAGTTCCCTGTACCAATGAAATCACATCCCACTAATCTCTCTCTCTCTCTCCCTCTCTCTCTCTCTCTCTCTCTCTCTCTCTCTCTCTCTCTCTCTCTGTCTTTCTCTCCCCCTCCCCCCACCAGTTTGCTCTGCTTCTGTCTACTTCCAAACTTTTTGTCCTCTTTTGTGAATTTTACAAATGTTTTGTTGGTGATCCTTTTTTCCCCCTTCAGTTTCTGTTACTACCCCATCCCCAAATCCATGCCCTTCAATATAACAAATAGCATTGTTAAAAAACAAACCAACCACATTGATCCTTCCTGAAAATGCATTTTCTGCCCTTATGGTCATGCATCACTCTACTACTAAAAGGCAAGAGGCATGCTTCATTCTCAGTCTCTTGAAATTAAGATTGGTTCCTGCATTGACCACATTTCTAGTATGAGTGTTTACCTCATGAAGGCTATAGTGCTTGCCTGTGGAGATACAAAGGCCCAAATGAAGCAGTTCCTGCCCTCACAGAACTTCTAATCTTTTGTGGAACATCACTAGTTCACAGATAATATAATTCTGGGTAGGAAGTGAGAGGGTCCAAGGAAAGTTAAGGCAGAGTATTTTTAGGAGAATTTGAGGAGGGAGGCAGTTGAAAAGGATCAAGGAAGGCTTCACGGAGGAGTAGGTGTTCAAGCTGAGCCTTGAATGCGGAAAAGATTTCTAAGAAGCAGAAATAAGGAAGGAGAGTATGTCAGAATGATGGAAATTTGGAAAACTGGCTGAAGTTAAGGTTGGCTGGAACACAGGATGTGTGAAGGAGAGCAATGTGAAATGTCTGACAAGTTAGTTAGGAACGAGACTATGTAGGACTTTACATTCCCAGCTAAGAAGTTTATATTTTACCACCAAGGGAAAAAGTAGGTCCTTGAGCAGAGGAGTGAGTGTTCTGTGCCTTAGGAAGATTGTTTTGGCCCCTGTGGGAAGGATTGATGGGAGAGGGCCAGACAAAAGTCAGGGAGATCATTACAATAACCTGGGTAAGGTAATAAGAACTCAAAAATAGAAAATCTGTGTTTGGCAGGCAGTTTTCAAAGGCAGAAACTCAAATTGTCAATAACCATATTTAAAAAATGCTTCCAATTGCTAATAATTAGAGAAATGCAAATTTCTGAGCTCTGAGGTACTACTTCACACCCATCAGATTGGCAAAAATAATGAATGATGAAAACGACAAATGTTAGGGGGGCTGCAGGAAAACAGGTACACTAATATGATGTTGGTGGAGCTGTGAATTGGTCCAGTCACACCAGAATGACAATTCTGTGCATTTCTCAATGGACTGTCACTATAAGCCAGTTCAACCTCTCCACAGAGAGATCCGGTTCCTTCTTCCCAATTCCATACTTCAAATAATGTTAACATGATGTCACCTTCCTGGCTCCTTTGCTCCAGTCTCAAAAGCTGAAGTGGTCATTTCCCCACCCAACATTAGCCCTTGTTCCCATCACCTCCTGTCTTTTTTTGGGAAGCTTGCCCCTTCAATTATCCTCTCTTTCCTTAATTTTCAACCTCTTTTTATCCACTGACTTTTACTGCTTCTACAAGTGTGTCCAAATCTGCCTTATCTTTAAAAGAAACTTTGTAGTGCTTCCTCTCAGATTAGCTCTTCAATTTGCATTGGCACTAGCAGATTGGCTCCACACAGGGTCAGATGCTACTTCAGATTCTAAGGATAACCTTGTGGCTTGGCTCTCCTCTAAAATGGTAGTTTACAAGTTCCAACAGATGTGGTTCCATAACAATCACTCAGTAGACTCAGATTTCAGTGAAGGCATTTATTTAAACGGCATAACAAGAAGAGAAATTATAAAACATCCCTGCTCCGGGATCTGGGGTGGTGCTAGGCACAAACTTAAAGTACAACTATACACAAAGTTCATGTTGGAGTGACATCAGCCACAAACTTAAAGTAAGGAACATGTGTAAAGAGCATGGTTGGTGCAGCTAGGCAGCAAAGTGGATAGAGTGCTAGCCCTGAAGTCAGGAGGACCTGAGTTTAAATCCAATCTCAGACCAAATACTTGACACTTACTGGCTGTGTGACCCTGGGCAAGTCACTTAACCCCAATTGCCTAAAAACAAACAAAAAAGAGCATGGTAACTCACAATTGCAGGGTTTCAATGTCTTTTGTGTCTCAGGAGAGTCCTCAGACACTTAAGTAGCTGTGTGACCTTGGGCAAGTCATTTAACCCTTTTTGCTTCAGTTTCCTTACCTGTAAAATGAGCCAGAGAAGAAAATGGCAATCCACTCCAGTAAAACTCCAAATGGGGTCACCAAGAGTCAGATATGATTGAACAACAACAACCCTTCAGAGATCTTAGTGTCCTACTCCCCTCCACATCACAACTGTCAAGGTTTATGGCATGAACCTGGAAAACAGATGAAGTACAGTGTTTCCATGCCCACCTCTTTTCTGAACTCTCTTCCTCAATTTTATTTCATCCATAGGATCATAGATTTGGAACTGCAAGGGACATTGAAGTTTATCTGAGTCAATCCTATCATCTTACAGATGAAGAAACTGAGACTCAGAGAAGAGCAGTAACTTTCTCAAAGTCATCTAGCTATCAAGCGGCAGGTAAGGGATTCAAACCCAGGGTCTCTGACTCCAAATCCAGCATTCTTTCCACTACTCTGTGCTCTCATTTCCCTCCTCAGTCCCCAGATCTTCCCTGTGCCAAACTGATTGTTCAGATTCAGACCCACCACCCTTCAGGTTTCTTCCACCTCACCTCCAATTCTATTCTTTCCTTCCTGCCTAATCTCTGGATCTCCCACTGATATCCCATCCCAGGACAAAACCAGGCTCTATAACTCAGTTCAGCAAATGTATTTGGAGCAACCAATGTTTACAAGACACTCTGCTTCTGGGCCCTTTGATACCTCTGGTTGGAGACCATATCTACCAGATAGGGTCCTCAGAATGTTCTGGTCTCTTCTACGTCCTCTCCCCTTCCCCTCTGTAGTTCATATCTCCAATTCAATTTTTTTTGTGAACTTCAGCTAAGTGTTAAAAGGGAAGTAATCTAATTAAAAACATTCACAATAAGTTGGACCAACCATAACTCATAGTCATGTTTTCTAATTAAAAGAAAGAATTTCAGAGTTGTGAAATTTGGGGAAATATAGAGAATGGAAGGATTTCACACTATTTTTGGAAAAGCTTTTAGAGGGCTCATGAGTACCCTTTGATAATATTTTGGGGCTCAGCTAAGTGGCACAGTAGATAGAGCACTAGCCCTGGAGTCAGGAGGATCTGAGCTCATATCTGGCCTCAGACACTTACTATCTGTGTGACCCTGAGCAAATCAAGCCCCAATTGCCTCCCCACCCCAAAATAATATTTTTGGTGGTGCTTAAAACTCCTCAATAATTTATTGGAGGGGAATATA